ACCGTGTCAGAGCAAACAAAGACACATTTTTTAGAAAGAAAGAAATAAAGAAAAAAGAAAATCAGGCTTATCTTACCTATCGATTCCATCCTGGGAGTAATAAACACCGTAGGTTTGAACAGCTCCTCCGGTCTCCTCTGGGGGGCGCCAGCTGAGTCGGACAAATCGGCTGGACACTAGGACAGGGACCAGGTCGCGGGGGGCAGAGGGGAGGGCAACGCCTGGGCTGGGGGACACTGGTGGGGGATCAGAGGAGGAGGAGTAAGTCAAAGGGGTGCCAGAAGGAGCAGGAGAAGGGCGGGGAAGAGGAGGAGGTGTGAAGGAAGGTAGATTCTGAGTGGGCGTGGGCTCTGTTAACAGTTCATCCAGGGAAGGGAGGGGAAAGCAAAGGAAAGGAGAAGCAGGAAAAAGGATGGGGGACGACGGGGGGGGGAGGTGGAGGGGAGGTGCGGGAGGCAAGCAAAGGAGACAGAGCAAAGAAAAAAAACAACAAAAAGAGCAAAGGACAGATGAGATGAGCAGATAAGGAACGGAAAAGACGTGGAAGAGACAAAAAGGAAGAAAAGAAGGAAGAAGAGTGGTAAAGAAGATCTCAGCCAAGAAGAAAAAGCAGCAGAGCATCTGAAGAGCTTAGTTATCAATCAGATATCAAACAGATATCAGTCATCTGAATGTTAACACTGTTTTAATGCCATGACATTAAAACACACATGGTATATTAATTTTATGTGAAAATGATCCTTTAAAGTTCCTACTCTTCTCACAATGTTCAGTTCAGTTCTCAGAAGATGAAAACAAATCTGAATTCTTATGAATGTGTTATGAATGAATGAATGAATTGAATTCTTCTGAATATGAACCATTTCTCTGCGATAAACACCCTTTTCCAAAGATGAGTGATTTCTCAATCAGATAGATTTTTTTATTTTATTTTGTTGTTTCAGCAACATTAAATTTAAAAAGGGTACTTTTGAGTTAAAATATATATTTATAATTTTAATAAATGACAAATTAAAAAGGCATGAACTTTTTTTTGTATCGAAAAAATACCGAACCGTGACACCAAAGTATCATCCGAATCGAACCGTGAATTTTTTGTATCGTTGCACCCCTATTAGATATATCATACGACACACACACAGTGATATTTGAGAAGTGAAATGAAGTTTATTGGATTTACAGAAAGTGTGCAATAATTTTTAAAACAAAATCAGGCAGGTGCATAAATTTGGGCACCACAAAAAAAGAAATGAAATCAATATTTAGTAGATCTGCCTTTTGCAGAAATCACAGCCTCTAAACGCTTCCTGTAGGTTCCAATGAGAGTCTGGATTGTGGTTGATGGTATTTTGGACCATTCCTCTTTACAAAACATCTCTAGTTCATTCAGGTTTGATGGCTTCTGAGCATGGACAGCTCTCTTTAACTCACACCACAGATTTTCAATAATATTCAGGTCTGGGGACTGAGATGGCCATTGCAGAATGTTGTACTTGTTCCTCTGCATGATGCCTTAGTGGATTTTGAGCAGTGTTTTGGGTCGTTGTCTTGTTGAAAGATCCAGCCCCGGCGCAGCTTCAGCTTTGTCACTGATTCCTGGACATTGGTCTCCAGAATCTGCTGATACTGAGTGGAATCTGTGTCCCTCAACTTTGAAAAGATTCCCAGTCCCTGCACTGGCCACACAGCCCCACAGCATCATGGAACCACCACCATATTTTACTGTAGGTAGCAGGTGTTTTTCTTGGAATGCTGTGCTCTTTTTCTTCCATGCATTATGTCCTTTGTTATGCCCAAATAGCTCAGTTTTAGTTTCATCAGTCCACAGCAACTTATTCCAGATTGAAGCTGGCTTGTCCAAATGTGCTTTAGCAAACCTCAAGCGGCTCTGTTTGTGCTGTGGGCGGAGAAAAGGCTTCCTCTGCATCACTCTTGCATACAGCATCTCCTTGTGTAAAGTGCGCCGAATGGTTGAACGATGCACAGCGACTCCATCTGCTGCAAGATGATGTTGTAGGTCTTTGGTGCTGGTCTGTGGGTTGACTCTAACTGTTCTCACCATTCGTCGCTTCTGTCTATCCGAGATTTTTCTTGGTCAGCCACTTCGAGCCTTAACCTAACTGAGCCTGTGGTCTTCCATTTTCTCAACATGTTCCTAACTGTGGAAACAGACAGCTTAAATCTCTGAGACAGCTTTCTATATCCTTCCCCTAAACCATTTGAGAGTTGTTTTGAGACCCCCATGTTGCTACTCTTCAGAGTAAATTAAATGAGGAGGGAAACTTACAACTGACCCCCTTAAATACTCTTTCTCATTATTGGATTCACCTGTGTATGTAGGTCAAGGGTCACTGAGCTTACCAAGCCGATTTGAGTTCCAATAATTAGTTCAAAGGTTTTGGAATCAATAAAATGACAACAGTGCCCAAATTTATGCACCTGCCTGATTTTGTTTAATTAATTATTGCACACTTTCTGTAAATCCAATAAACTTAATTTCACTTCTCAAATATCACTGTGTGTGTCTGCTATATGATATATTTAACTGACATTTTTTATTGTAACAACCAACGATTTATACAGGGAAATAACGACTATTAACAAAGTTGCCCAAACTTTTGCATCCCACTGTAATGATGATTTACTCTTGGCCATTAACACTGATTCACGTACCATTACCAAAGAGTTCATGCTGACTGTTCATGTTGAACCTTCTATTACAACTACTGCTTGACTGTAGCAGAAATCTACCCTTTATACTGTATGAATTTAATCAAAGCAAAGGTGGGACAGCTGCTAATGCCATGTAGAGGTTTCTTCTTAAGATTCAGTTCATTTTTCAAAGTCTGTACGTCTGTAGCATTTTGACTGGCAGCTGGGTATTTCTTAAACCTCTGAGGTCTATGTCATTGCTAACAAAGACCTCAAGTCTAGCCCTAGGCAATGGAAATTTGTCATTTTTGTTTTTATTAAATCGTTCTTCTCAGTCTTGGCAATCAGGGAACAAAGAAAACAATCATTCAGTCTGACACCCTTCAAAAAGATGCCATGAGTGTTATTTCCACCTGTATTATTAATATCTCCTCCTTATCGAACGTGGCAAATCTTTGAACCACAAATCTACTACACATTCAATCTCGAGAGGTATGGAAATGGAAACCAGTAACTCTTGCTCTGTGTGGTACAAGTATGAAATGCTCAGATCAGTATGAAAATATGTTACCTTGCAGATTATAAGAAAAGTAAATGAAGATGAGAATGAAATCAAGAATGATTGCTCTCCTCTGGATGTGCAGGTTACTCACATTTTACTATCTACTTGTTCAGATTCTTGGTCACTGACAGTATTCAGTATTATCTGAAACTCATTTGAGAGGTTTAAATTTTCCGTATTATGTCTAAGTTTTCTTTTTTGAGCAAAAAGTAAAGTTTTTAAAAAATACAAATAAAATGAACGGCATGTTCTGGAACATTCATTTTTAGTCATTTTCTTAAATCTCTTAGACAAGTGCAGTGAAGCAGTTTAATCTCTTCTCTTCAGACTTTCACCTGTCAGCATGAAGACCACTCCATTTGTTCCAGGCTGCCTACCTGTACTTATGATTAACATTCAAATTGACCAACCACAGAATATTGCTGTGCCTCTGCGGATTTATTCAGTCAAATAATTGCTGCTGTTTCTACATGTCACTATCAAGGTTTCAGGCACACTTTCTGAACAGCTCCATCCTCCCTTTCCCAACTCCCTTCATACTTTTAATGTATCTCAGTAAAATCTCCAGTAACAGCTGTGATAGGCAATAAAATAAAGGACAATTGCTCTATGTCACAAGGCCAGTTCAATGGATAACGAGGTGACCGCCTGTGAGGTTTAAACTCATGTCATTGAGAGTCCCAAAGTCAATGCCGTAACTTAACAGGAAGTTCAAAGTCTCTATATAATTCTTAGACAAAAATAGCCACCCTGTGCAATAACGATACTTTCAGGCAAACCATTTGGACAGCAACAATTATTTGACGTCAAACCTGAGTCCAAGGTTGTGGACATGGTGTTATTTATTAAAAAGCAATTTATCAGGTTGACCTTTAGACCTGCTTATTCATGCAAGGTGAGTACCTAGACTCACCGGAATAAACGGAAAGGTTAGGGTATCTCAGATATGCACAACTGTAATGACCAGTAGAATACAAAAGTTTTCTTGAAGCTTTTTCTTGAGGCGCAAGCTTCCACTTCACTTTTCATCCAAGAAAACAATTTTTAATCTGCAGTGTGTACAGGCTCACCAAAAACTGGGAATACATAGATACAGATGGTAGCCTCAGAATTTGGCGTGAGCAGCATGAAATCATGGGCATGGACAGTGCTGGGAAAGTTGTTTGTACACACTTTTGGCCCCTTATTGACAACCAATTATGGTTTGAATTCCAAAGTCCATTTGAGTATTGTTGGTGACCATTTGGGTCCCATAATTTACCATCTTCTAATTATAAGGCATCATGTCAAAAAGAAACCTAAAGTCTCAAACTTGTCTCACCAACAGGACATTATTTGTAGATTTCAGTGGCCTCCACTATTCCTCGACTCAAACCCAGTGTCTTGAGAGGCAGTAGAGTAGGATATATGGAGAATTAGTGTGAAGAAAAGATGTTTTTTGATGACCACAACATGGATAAAACTTCCACCTTGTGGAATCCATCACACTATGAAGTCAGGTTGTTTTGTATTCAGTCTTCTATCTATCTGTATCTATAGAAATAATGAAAAGCAAACATATTCAAATGGTGCTCAGAATAGCAATTTTTAAGTGGCTACACCAGAATCTGTGCATGGATAAGTGACTTTACTATATGTTCTGGACCTTTTTGAAGGCATGCTGTAGGTGCTTATACATACACACACACTATGTATATCCATCAACTATCAGCTGTTTTTCATCTCTGCACTAATTTCAGTTAGTTAAATACTGAAAAGAAAATAATATGTCCTCAAAGTATACCATTAGAAATGAAAAGCATATTTTCCTGTCCTACAGTGTCTGCCTCCAAGACAGGAAAAAATGAAACCATGACATACTCCCAGATGTAAAGCACACCTTAGCTGTTCAAATGTGACAAAGCTGCAGAAATAATGTTATGGTCTACAAACTTTTACACTGCTTAAAATGTATGATCTACACATTGGGCTGTGCATCGTTATTAATAGTCTTAAGATGGATTAAAAATGTTTTGGTTGATT